TCTGTACTAGTGTACTTTCGCAGTATCGATATATAGATAGGTAGATGCATACAGATAGACGACCCAGGCTTGCTTGGGGCTGCCCGGGCTTACCGCCAAAGTTACCAACGGCCGCCGGGGACCGCCAACGCTAGGAAAAAAAAAGTGCGGGCCCACCCCCTCTGTAACACACAAAAACACCCCCTTCCCCTTTCGCTCTGTCGCTCTGCTGGAGGGAGCGTGGGTCCTGAAAGGAGAGAGTCCAATCCACGCGATCGATCTTCAAGGGAGACCTCTGCCGTTCTTTGCAATCTGGCAGATCTCCAGCAGATCTCCGGTATCTGGGTAGATGGCAGGCGGCACGTCAGGTCTAACCTCACTCTTCGTTCAATGAGCAGCTCTTGGGAATCTCATGATGCAGCTGGGGATGAGGCAGAGCGCAGACCCACGAAAACAAGGGACCTGCCATTCTGTCTGAATGAAACACTTTGCCCGGCACACCAGCCCGAGGCAGTGGCAGTTTCGGCAGCTGATAGCATGTTCACCGTCGCCACTGTGCACGCCATGGGCCCGCCTTGCAAGAGACGGGGTTGGCGGACGCGGAGACTCACTCTCCGTATTCCCCATCGCTCGTCTTAATGCTGTCGTCACTGCAGAAGAGAAGGAGAACTACCCATCCCTCCGCCCCAGACCCGATTCAGCTTACAAGGAACATGCGGCAAAGCTGGATGCTCTGAAGCTTGCATCAATCAGGCAACTATGAAGCGGTACTGCATGCTTCGACTGACAAACCTGCTGCGCTAATTGAAGCCCCATCCATCACAAGCTTTTCAGCATCGCTCGTCGAAATTGTTGAATATGAACGTGGCCACGCTAAGAACCTCCCCGAAAAGCAAACCACCCCGTGCCCTCAAGCTGACTACCGCCAACTCAATACTGTCGCACATTTCTAGCAGCAGCCCTGCATGGCGGCATTGAAAGCTTAAGCAACGCGACATCCAGCTGCCAGCGAAAACACGAAACATCTGTCTGCACGCTTGTGGCTATGTCACTGTGCTTCTTACGGCCCAAGAGCTGATTCAGCTGATGGCGACAAGCATTCCGTCAGTGTCGGAGCAAACATGTCACCAGCATCTTGAGGAGCAACGCTTGCATGCGGAAATCTTGTCGCGCCTATTGGGATCGGAGCGGCCCAGCAAAGGGCAGCTTCCGCCGATCCTCGGTGAAGGCACAGAAGGCTCAGCCGGCCCCTTTTCTCTCAGAGCCGCGTCTGAGCACCGGACATCCAAACATATCAAGGCTTCGACTTCCAGGCCCAGGCGCTCCCTCAAGGCGCCCAAGGACGTGGCCTTCAGAGTGAAGGGCCACTCGGACTCGGACTCCGGGGCCTCCGCGCTCTCGGCGTTTCTCTGAGTCCATGGCTGCTCGAGCTCCCAAGCTCCAGCCCACGACCTCGCCGAGACTTTGGGGTCCGAGCTTCGCCCACCGCGAAGGCCAACAATTCGCCCCCCCCTCCCGCGAGCAGAGACGTAGGGACTCTTGCGTACCTTCTTGCACTTTGCGTCCCCGTAGGGTTGTCGAATAAAGTTGCAGACACAGGTGTGAAAGGGAGGCAAAAGCGTGGGACGAATCTGACAGCAAAAGCACGGCAGCATGTTTTCCACGTCATATAGTCGCAAGAACTCGACGAAAAACAATAGAGTCAGTCTATTGTGTGGAGAAGATGTTCTGCCTGCTGCCCTGTCTTTCTCTATACATAGCCTATATGAATATGAAACTGAGAAATGTTATTACATTGCTTCACCACACACGATTGCCACCAGTTCGAAAACCTAAACTGAAACTGCAGTGGAGGCAAGGAGGGAGGGAGGGAGGGAGGGAGGGAGGGAGGGAGGGAGGGGAGGGAGGGAGGGAGGGAGGGAGGGAGGGCAGAAGAGAATGAGAAAGAAAGG